CTTCTGTATCCTTCAGGTAAGATACCCAATAACAGTATCTCTGGTTTCAAGTCTATATGATGTTTGTCATTTTTCCCAGCCATGTAAGAATTTTAGCCCAATATCTCTTGGCTTCCACACACATCCACCACATGTGATAATATGATCCAGGTATCTGATGGTACTTCCAACATTTCTCCAATTTGTTCTTAAACTTCCTTGCTATTCTTGCCAGAGATAGATGCCACCTGTAAAACATCTTATACAAATTCTCTTCATATGCTGTTGACATTGTTATTTTATAGTTTCGAGACCATAATTTCTGCCATCTTTCTAAATCTTTCCCATATCCAAAATTTCCCCCCCAAGCAATCATTGTTTCTTTTACTTGTTCTTCTTCTAATTTTACTCTAAGTAAATATCCATATAGTTTTTTAATCACCTTCTGATCAGTACCTGTCAAAATTCCATCTAATTCAGTAAGTTCGTTATAAAATCCTTCTGTCCTATGATCTTTATCATATCTAGAATGAATACCAATTCATCTCTATTTCTTGTTCCTCTAGTTCTTGCTTAGATTTGAGTTCACCCTCTTCATTTAATATTTCACCATATCTTACTGTTTGTTCCATTTTATAACAATTGGATATGCAAATGCCTCTATAGTTGACAACCAGACTGGTATTTTCATGTAATGTTGTTTCCTTATTTTCTCCCATATTAATAATAAAGCATCATGAATAGAGTGTTTCCAAAAATACCCATGTGTTTTATTTTTCTTATACCATAAAAAAGTGTGCCATCCCAATAATAGGTCATGATCTTCTAATGTTAACAATCTAGTATTCGTTAAGGCTATCCATTCTTTCACCCACATCAATGTTGCTGCCTGGTAATATAATTCCCAATTGGGTAAACCACAACCTCCTCTTATTCTGGCATCTTGTAAAAATTTTAATTTGATTCTTGCCTTTTTCCCTGCCATATATACTTCAGTATTATTTTATTTAAATCCTCGAAATATTCTTTCCCTAGTTTAATTGAATTGTCTGAACCAAATATAAAATCCTTGGTAATATATTCATCTTGAATGTAGATATTCTCCCTATTAGAGATAATTGTAGATTTTCCCATTTTTTCAAGTCTGTGACAATCTGTTGTTTGAGTTTATAATAATTATCTTCTTTGAGTGCTCCACATCTTGCTGTTAATTGTATTCCTAACTATTTAACTTTATTTGTGATCTGGATATTCAATCTCTCTTTTAATTCTTCTCTTTGTTTTTTCACCATATTCTTGACCAGAATCTTAGTTTATTTGTTTTCAAACCTGCCACCTGTCCATATTCTTCAATCTTTTATATCAATTTAAGCACTGTTTTTAATCGTTCCTCTAATATAAAAACCAGATCATCTGCAAACGCTTGTATTCCTCTTTTTTATTTTCATTCCCTTTATTTCACTATCATCTCTAATATTTCTATTTAAGACCTCCAAAATCAAAACAAATAGCAGAGGCGACAGCAGGCATCCTTGCCTAGTTCCTTTTTAAATATTAATATTTTTTGTTAAGTCTCCATTATTATTACTTTGGTAGATTGCTTATAATATATTGCCTCTATAGCTTTAGTAATTTTTTCACCAAGCCCATTTGTTCCATTTGAACTTTCCTTCTTGAAAATGGTGAGTATACGTTTAAGATTATATTGTAGAAACTCACTGGCTTTCTTAAAGTCACTTCTGTGTGGAATGGTGAATTGGGAGGTAAACTTCCTGTGAACCAGACATTATGACTGGTTTATTTATTTATTTATATTTATACCCCGCATTTATTATTTTTATAAATAACTAAGGACAGTAAAAACACACAACATACTTCCTCCTCTTATTTTCCCCACAACAACTCTGTGAGTTGAGTTGGACTAAGAGTGAGTGACTGGCCCAAAATCACCCAACCAGTTTTCATGCTTAAGGTGGGAGTAGAACTCATAGTCTTCTGGCTTTACTTCAGATGAAGGAGAGATCTTGAGATAACCCATATGTACTCTGGACAGCTGTTTTTGGTGAGCAGACAGCAGAAATTGACTTTTTGTGGTTGCTTGCAATAAGGTATGAGTAACAGGATTTCATCATGCTATGAGCCTGTCAAGTCTAGGAATGTTTTATCCATTTAATCACTTTGGAATTTACATTTTTTTCTTATTGTTTGTAAAACATTGCAAAACCCTCAGAACTACAAATTTAGCACTTGCTGGACAAGTTTTTTTTCATTCCATTCACACACACACACACACACACACACACACACACACACAGTACATACAGTTTTAAGAGGTTTTTTTTTTTTTGCAGTATAGAGCAATGGGATGATGTAGTGTAGATTTTAGAAACATTTTTTAAAATAGATTAAGGGTTAAGATTAATTTGAATTTAAGAAATACTTTGAAATTAATCAAAAGGATCTTTCCTCATGGGAAAAATGTCTTTGCTTGCATTACAAACTGATAATAGGACTTTGAAGTTTGGACATTAGAAGGTATCAGATGTCTATCGTAAAGGAAACATGTGATGCTTGGGTTCAAGAGGTTGTCAAACTATTTAATTATATAATGGAATAATAAGCTTTTACTGAAGAGGAACAAGCCTCATTGAATAAAGTCAAAATGGCCTTTACAGTGGATTTAAAACTTAGAACTTACATAGAGGGGAAATACAAAAAAGATGGGAAAACAAGAAAGAGGGAAATACAAAATAATAACAAGGATATACAAATAATAAACCAAAAGAATAATATGGATATGATAGATAGATAATAGATGGATGAATGGGATGATATATACTGGATGATAAGGAATTTATTGGAGTTCCTTCACTTGGAACTACAAAGGACTGATAAAGATGACAAGAATTTCAAGAGAGAAAAACAATAAGACAATGAGAAAGCAGACGTTAGAACTTTATTTGTAGGAATTAAAGTTTACTGGCAAAAAGAAGAAAAAATACATAATTGGTTTATTGGATTATGGTTAAAATAATGGTTTGCTATTACAGATAGTCCTTGATTTACAACCAAAGTTACAATGGCCTCAGAAGGAATGCTTTACGGCCCATAAAGCACTTTCATCCATCATAAAATGTCATTCTGACCCCCTCCTGCAATCACATGATTCTATTTCGGCAAACAGCTTACATTTATGAATAGTTGCAGCACAGTGTGGTCATGTGACTATGAATTGCCATATTTCCAGCAAAAAAATGTCTATTCGGGATAATAGATTGATGGTGTGATTTTCTTAACGAAGAATGGATTTACTTAACAACCTTCCAATTTGCCTAATGAACTCTGTAAAAATGGTAAAAAGAATCACATCTGGTCACTTGGTTATCTCAACTCATGATCAAAATTCTGGTTCTGACTGTGGTTGCAAGTTGAGGACTACTTCAAATGTTTGTTTGGTTTTAATTGGAATTGGATGATGATGGTTATTTGTGGTAAAGTTTAATTAGGTGTAATAGATTAATTTGTAAGATTAATGTTTACTTGTTGATTGGGATTGGATTTTGTTATTTGAAGAGAGAGATTAGGAGCAATTTGCTTAAATGGAAGTGGAGATATAAATCTTTCAGTTGTTATTTCTGTTAACCGTTATTGGCTTTTGCTCATTAATAAAGTGAACTGAAGATTTGGAGATGGCTTTATAGAAAACAGGGTAAGGCATGGAGAATGTAGAAGTATTTAGTTCTATTTTAACAGGCATTAATGTTAATGTTGACTATACTTACTGGAGGGGAAGGGGAAGTTTTGTCTTTTAATTTTTTTCTTCTTCTTTTTTTTTTACATAAATGGTCGCATGCAATACAGTGGTGGGATTCAAATATTTTTTACTACCGGTTCTGTGGGTGTGGCTTGGTGGGCATGGCTTGGTGGGTGTGGCAGGGGAAAGTTACTCCATCCCCATTCCCTCCCCACACCACTAACCTGCTTTCCAACTCCCTTCTCCTGTGCAGGGCAACAAAAGAAGACCCAGCCAATCAGCTGGGACTCAGGAGGCAGAGAATAGATGGGGGCGGGGTCAGTCAGAGGTAGTATTGGCTGATTCTCCGATCTACTAAAAATTTCCATTATCGGTTCTCCGGAACTGGTCAGAACCTGTTGAATATTACGTCTGATGCAATATGAATTGATGCCATTGTCACTAAAGTGATCAACTACCTCCAACCTCTTCCTACATCACTGTTATTCTATGTCGATGCCTGGTTGCTTTAGCTGAGCTGCTGGGATGATTTTCATGTTTTGAGTGACCCTGCTGGGAATATTTAGTCTTGGTGTTCACTCCAGATATTCTTCACTCATCCCTCCCAGGAACACAACACCCCCCCATCCACGATGCACAGGGGACTTTGGTGGGGGTGGGGGAGAGTAAAGCAAGCTATGCTTTCAAAAATTCTTCTCAAAATAGTATTTAAAGCTTTTCATCTTCAAAAGTGAGATCAATTAGCATGGACATCAAATTTTTGATCTCTTATAAGAAAGTAAATGAAAAGGGCAGTACCTAAGTACAGTACTTTAATTATTTATTGCATTATAATCTGGAATCATTTATGGGGTTTTATAAAAGTACAAATGTTGTGGGAATCTTTTACTGTCTTGATTCTTTTTGTCCATACATGCAAAAATCTTTGCAGAAGATGTGGAATAACTGTAGAGGGTTTTTGACTGACCACATTAGGGACGATTCACTTGGGGCTGGTGGTCCTGTCTAAAACTATGTGGTCATGTGGTTCTGCCTTGATAGACATACAGGAAAACAGCAGTTTAGTGCTGTGTGTGTGT